TGGAAATCAATAGCAAAATATATATTTTAAAAAAAAATAAAATAAAAGAATAAAAAATTATGTTATAAATATTTTAAGTCCCATACAATCTTCAATTTTTAAGATTTCTTTTCTTTTTGATGCAATATATCTTTCTTCTCAGGCAAAACACATTTAAACCACAATGGAGCAAATATTGCGTCTACTGTAAATAAGGAACTAACAGTAATTTGTTTCTTTAGATTTCTAATCGGAAATTTAATTGCTTTTTAAAATTGGTACCAAATCATGTGACAAGTTGGGCATGGAATTGTGATTGGTGTTGAGTGATGGAAATTTCTACTCGTATTTGTTTAGTACATAATTATTAACATAGCCTGAGGGGCTTGAGCCGTAACTTATTAGTGTAAATGAGTGTCGCATTAGTTCATGCAATCACTGGTACAGTACATTAATTATTTCACTTTTGTTTTTTGATTTACAACCAAAACAATCTAAAGTGAAAACTATAATAGTCATGTAAGTTTTATTTCCACACAAAGAAATATAAGCAAGCTTCACTCTTTAGCCTCAAAAGAAACTTTGTATATTGTTTGTTACTTGCTGTTGGATGAGAATGAAATATAAAATTAAAAGAAAAGATTAAGAATTCAGTATTTCAACAAGAAAAACTTGACAAACAGTACACTACCATCCAATAAATCAAGTAAACACGCCTAAAAAATGAAAACAAAATTTGTCATTTGAAAAGGATCTCGGAAGTCCATGTAAAAGATAAAAGGAAAAGTAAAAAGAATGTAGTTTTTAATGAGTTACTGATTTTTAAAGAATATCATTAGATGTGCTGGCTGAAATTTATATTAAGGGTGTATTTTTAATTTATATTTGAAATTTAATAACTAATGAATTTCAGTACAACACCCTGTTTTGGGGCATTTCTATTAAGGGTGGGCATAATAAGCTCGGTCCCATGGTCTTTATTTTGAGGGAGAACTTTTATTAAAAGGAAAAAACCTGGTTCTGGTGGTGGAGCAAGTCTTCTCGGATAAGAAAATATAAACTTTAAAGAACCCATTACATCTTTCAAGATGAATAGGGGGTTACCATGGTGTACCGGTCCATGCCCCTGTTATTTGACATTAGGACATTTGTATGATGTACCTATGTAAACGTAAACAAATATGCACAGAAATAATACTGGTACGATTGATATAGTTTTGTAATACACATACTTAACCAAAGAGCAACATTGCAGCAATAGTTATAATCATTCTGGAATTTGTTTGAGTGTGCCAAGCACTACTTATGTTTGCTGAGTTGGGAGGCCAATAGTAACATACCGTACTCTCCACATAGCATTGCTTGTAATTGCATGTGGGCCTACTGTTTAAGTGTAAGTGAAAGTGTGGTGTTCAAATGTACATGCCTATGTGGTCATGATAACATCACATTGTGACCATATATGGGCATGTCATGACAATATGTGCTTAACAGTTCTTTGGAAAAATTTGGGCAGTGCTTTCATGTATTAATACTGAGGCAATGAATTTGATTTTAAAGACATGCCAATTTAACATTGTCATTAACTTTGAATCAATAAATCGCACTCTAGGGTTTTTCAGGCTTTTTCATTGAACACGTTCTAGTGAGGTGTATAGATAGAGAAATATAATACTTAAATATAACTCGATAAAATGGAAGTTGTCTTGTCTACAGTAGGCCTATTGATAACGTAAATCCATTTCATTACTAATACTTAGAATACTGTAATGCTCTTATTAAGAAAATATAAAGAAAAGATAGGTGAAATGAAGTGATGTTAAGAAAGCAAAGAACATGATATAATAAATGACCAAAAATTTTAAACGCAAAATTAGTGCCCATTTTGTTGGTTGGGAATGTGCCCAATTAAAATATTTATTATTATAGTTAAATTTTTAACTTGTGCCTTTATAAGGTAAAATTCATCAAGGAAGTACTGCTAGTTGATTTCATTGTTAGTAGTTTATGCACATAAATGTACAACTTTCTATTGAGGTTTTACCGCCTTTGTTCGATCATGTGATACAGTATTTTTACTGGGCGATTGGCTGGCTGGAGTACCAGCACATTTATGGAGAGGAGTAGAAGCGTCTTTGTACAAGTCAATTAACCCTTGCAGGTGAAAAAATGGTTAATGTAAGATTTATTGTTAGGTTTATCCAGAGGCAACGGAAGAAGGGTGAGGCTGGTAGTTTGCAAAATTAATATAAATTTAGCATTAATATTTAGTACAGTAATGTGTGTGCAAGCTATACTGACTGGAAAAGGATTGGACTGATATAGAGTAGAAAAAGATTAAGGCAGTGTGTTTGCTTATTTATAAATAGCGGGCTAACAACCTTGTTTTAGATAATGTTGATTGCCTTATCTAATAATGATTAATGACTTAATTGATTATAAACAACTTAGTGTTAAGACAAAGAACTAAAAGAGATTTTAATTACTGTTAATTAGTAGACATAAATAAACAAGACCATACAATACTGATTAACAGCGCTGTAAATAGCACTTAAGTATTGTTTTTTGAACAATCTCGTGCTTTTGCAGTACCTGGTTTTACCCTGTTTTCTTACAAAGTGACATAACCAGGGATAGTGCACTGATGATTATCACAACATAAATACAAGAAGCAACTAAAAAAGCTCTAAATGGTCTTGCCAAAATGGCGAAATTAATCCGGTAGAAGAACTTAAAATATCGTTCTTTCAAACTTTGGGATAACCTACCATCAAATATTCACAACACTATTCATTCACTTGCTTTAAAATCTGATTTAAATTTGCTTCTTGTACTTAATTCTCCATATAATATTTATTTCGTTTAATTTTTTGCTTTGTATTTGTCATTTAAGTGTATGTTATCTGCACCCAAAGGAAGAACAATATTATTATATCTGTACATTGATTGGGTATCAAGAAAAAGGAAAGATTGAAACCAGTACTTAGATTACAGTAGATCTAAAAGCAAGTGGCGAACAGATTATATAGAGCTTAAAAATGGTATATATTCAATAAACACAATCAAAGTCGTCTACGGACGCAAGAAGTGATTGTGTGGAAGATTTACTACCAGATCGCTTCTTAGTTGGTATGTGCTAACAAAAGCTTCCTACACACAAGCAAACAATCACTTCTTCAGGACAAAAGTCAAAGCTTTCTTGCTTTTTAACAAAGTTATTCAAAGGACTATAAAATAGAATCATTCTTTTTTAGTGTTGTACTTGTTTGCAAAGGGGATTGACTTTGCGACCTTGATGTACTGTAAGCCTACTTGTAAATCTTGTTTCACAAAAACCAATGGTCTTACAGAAATTTGGAAGAAATCACTTCCGCGGGAGCTGATTAACGCATCTAAATGTATTTTGCTACAATTGATACGGTAATAACCATGGGCACTGAATTCTGCTAGACAAATAATAAAAACATGCAAATTTTATGAATTTGTTGGAAGTTTAGTTATTTTTCGGGAGATTTTGTTTGCTTGCAGGGAGTCCGTCTCGATTTCCAAGAGACTATTATACAAATTTTTTTTTGTCTTTGTCTCTGTCAGATGCCAACAGAGTTGGCAGGTACAGTATACAATAAAAGTTAATGAAATGAAATGTTTCTTTTCTTTGCAGATTAATTTTATTTCGTAGTCATCATGGGCAAGGAAAGTGACCGACAATCATGGGCAGGAAAGTGCGACTTCTTCCTATCAGCTCTTGGCTACTTTATAGGCCTAGGAAATGTCTGGCGATTTCCCTATCTTTGTTACATTAATGGAGGAGGTATGTTACATATATTTTGCTATATTATAGAAATATTATCATTGTTGTTATTATTATTATTAGTAATAATGATAGTACAGTAATTAGTATTTAAAAATAATATTATTACTATTATTTACTATTACGATTACTCTTATTCCTTTTTGTCACCGTTGTTTTTCCTTAAGTGCTCAATATTTATCGTAGTTTCTAAACTCGTTTTTAAATTCTTTTTAAAATGTAATGTATTGATTGTTGTACAAACGCATTTTGTATTAATATATTTCAATTTTTGTATAATAATTATAAAGAGTGAACTGTACTAGAGGTGCATTTTACCTGTTGGCTCACAATCATCCTTCACTGCTCTATTTTTCTGAGTGAAAAGTTTATGAAATATATAAAATGATAATAATTGTATTATTGTTTGAAGGTTTGCATGGCGAAGTATAATATATAATTAATGCTTGCGGTACACCACGTAGATAGTTCTGAAAAGAACTGTTGTTGTTGGGAGAATAATATCTGCAGAGATCTCAAACAGGGAAATACTTATATGTTTGAGTGATGAGACTTTCTGCTGATTGGTTGAAAACTAAACAAAGGCTGAGCCTACCAGTGAAAGCTATACACGCCACGCCCCGCCCTTCTATTCAGACCGTGAATTTTAGCTTTTGTATCACTCAAACATATAAGTATTTCCCTGTTTGAGATCTCTGCAGATATTATTCTCCTGAAGACGGTTGAAGCAAGTCAACCGAAACGTCGAGATATTCTCATCCAACAACAACAGTTCTTTTCAGAACTATCTATGTGTTGTACCGCAAGCATTAATTATATAATAGTATTATTAGTGTGGAGTTGAATAGCTTGGTGGTTAAGATGCTCGTCTTCCAATTCCAGGGTCTTTGTTCTCACAACTGTACTCCATAAGCCTTGTTATGAGATTTAGTTTAGTAGAGCATCATGTGTTTATGTTTGTCATGTGATGGGATTGACCACCTAATCTAATAGGACAGTCTAATAGGAGAGTGAAAGTTGCTATTGGTTATCGTTGGCCATGTGACTAAAGGAATAAAAAATAATATAAAATGTATGTAAGAAGGCCAGCCTTCATGCATTTACTGTTTAGAATATTTTTAAATACTTATGCACTTCAGTCATTCTTGTCTGCAGTATTTTAACTTCAAAACAATCTAAATGGTCTTATTCATTGCATGTACTGTGTAAAATGTCAACTAGTCCTACAGTATATATCAAACATCTGCTATTTATTTAGGGTGTATTGCCTAAATTCGAAACATAAAAATGTAAATTGCAGATGATAAACAAATTGAAGAATTAACAAAAGCCATTAAAATCATCTGCCTGGAAAATAAGCCCCTTATTTAAAGGTAGTTTTTAATTATAGCATTAAGATATTCTAGTTTTACCTTCTATTAAATGCTTAAGAAGCCTACCTTCCAATAAATAATAATAATAATAATAATATTAATAATGAAAAAGATTTGATATTCATTTTTATATTTGGAATCATATCCATTTGAAGAAATCCTCAATGTGAAAATTCGGAGCAGAAAACGTAAAATTCTAAAAGAATTAAGCCAGAAAATGTGAGCGTCTATTAACTGTGGGAAATGAACATAATCAACATGCTGTTCTCTCTGTCTAAATATTAATAGAGTGATTAACATGCAGCGTGGTCAGCTTGTACAAATTTAGAATGTTTTGTTGATCGCCCACGAATCATATGTTAAGCCTTATTTGACAAATTTATTTGACATGTCTAAATATGGTCATGATGACGTCACATCAGCATGCAAAATCCTCATCAATGGAAAAACGGATATGACTGATCACGTAACCATTTATGATTGGTTGTCTTGTATAAACGAATCACTCTTAAGAACGTTAGAAAGCATGATCACAAAATATGTTACCGTAATTAACAGATGTAATGCTTGAAAATGGTCGAATAGGCGTATGTACTATGCATAATAGGTAATAAAAATGGATTGCACTTTTTGAAATTTTTTTTTGTAGGAAATTTCAAACACAATCACATTCAATTTTCTTATTACCGTATATTCTCGTTGTGTATAATAAGACGATGCTTAAAATAGCAATTTATGATCAAAATTGGGGGGGGGGGGTTGTCTTGTATGCCGAACACATACACATTTTTAATTTTTAAGTCGTTTTTGTCCTATGTGTGGATCGTCCGTAACTTGCAATGTTACTACTAAAATGAAGCTACTAACTGTTGGTTATGAATGAACAAAATTTTAAATCAATTTGAAATGCGGAGAAATGAAATATTGATGAACTTAAAAGCCCATAAGATAGTATTATTTTGGAAGATTAGCCATGTGACTCGTTTAGGTCAGGTAGATGCTGTATTAAGACCATAAAGAGCAGCAAATAATAGGAATTTTGACAGTAGTTGTCTTATACACTCGACATACAAAAAATCGTCCAAAAATCTTCTTAAACTCAGGGATGTCTTTAATACATGGATTGACTGCACAAGAATATTTGGTACCGAAAAACAAATACTTTCTGCAAATGTTCTAAACTTCTACTTGATACTTTCCACTTCAAAACATCAACCCCAGCTGTGTCCCATTTTTTGTTAGTAATTCTTGTTTCTAAAATATCATTGTCCTGAGGATTTATAATCATATGCAAGATTGCTCTTCATTATCAGCCCGAGGGGTCTATTTCAATAGTAAATTACGATGATTTCCTGCAATGCCCATGTTTTGATCTGTCCGAAATTAGGCTTATTGTGTTTGACCTCTCTATATTGTCCACTCTAACTCAATTTATTGTAATGCCAATTGTATTTAATTTAATTTGAGATTATGATACAGTCTTAATAAAAGGAAATCCTGTAAAGGTCGTCTAACATCAATCAAAACCCATATTATCAAGTTACTCTACTTTTGTACGATTCTGGAAAATATCCAAAGGTTAAAAAAAAAAAAAATGTCAAACTTTATTAACCGATATCATGCCAGAATGGAATGATAATCACTGCTTTAGATTTTACGTTTACACCCTGTAAAAATTTCTTTTAAGAACTGCTGGCCTTGTACAGACTAAAACTGTTATATGCCCAAATATAGTCATGTTGTGCCTATATATAGTCATGACGTGATGTCATCATACCATATTTAGGCATGTCAAGTAAAATTTAAGTCTGGACAGGACCTTAGTAATTTGTTTCTAGACAGCCAATACTGTTTCATTTGGTCCTTATTTTCCAACATCGTCCTCAAAACTTTACAATAATTGATTATTATTGTGCATTATTATTTTAATCTTTATAGATAGGATAATCGGGTGCGTTTATCTTTTCAACGGTATGTCGGACAAAACAGTCTTTTAAAAAATACGGACAGAGAATTCATTTATGAGAAAAAAACTTTTACACTTTGTAAGCATGTTTTCGTGATAATGATTTTCCTGAGAAATAGCCAAATTTTTCTGATTAATATGAAGATTTGAATATAGCAATAACATGTGATGGGGATCAGGAACTTGGTTAATTGCCAAGGCTTGCCTGGTGGTATGATGCCTATGGATTTGGCTTTAATCATTGAATTTTCCTGTCTCGGCTCCTTATCCACAGTTTAATTTCTATGTAATGTAATTATTATTAAAGCACTGTACAGTTGGGAGCACGGTTTGCCGACGCCTTAATGGGTGAGACTTTGGATGGTATTTTCCCTGTTTTTGGAAAATTCTCATGACCATACTCGCTGGTGTTGTACGATAAGACACTTTACGCAAATAACTTTGTCCTCCGGAACAAATCTTTTAAATACTGTAGATCAGTATGCAAATGCAATCATAATAAGAGTATAAGGCTGCTGGTTATATTTACACCAGATGTACTGTACACAAATTCTTAATTCTGATTGGATGCTGTTGTTATAATCTAATCCATGCATACAGTAATATCCAATCACAGTTAATAATTTTATTAAAGACCGGTGTAACTATACGAGCCATTGCCATAAAAACACCAATCATTTTATTTATTTAATATTTATTTACAACCATTTTATTGACTAGGATTTAACAATATGAGAGTTGGCATGAAAAAATGGGAGAAAGAAGGAGAAATAAGTACACACACATTTTCAGAGACTAAAGTAAAAAGGTGTAAAAGAGTCAATGGTAAAATTTAAAATTGGAATTTGACCAAAAGGAATTAAAAAAAAAAAAAAAAATCCTGGTAGTGCAGAACTGTTTTTTTCTTTTGATGTTTTAAACATACCTTGATCTCATAAGCTTTTAACATGCACTATAATAGCGTTTTATGTGACAGACGTATGCAATTTGACCATATTGTGTTTGGGCCTAAATGAGAAAAGGTTTTTTTGTGCTGGTAAAGGAATTTATAGTTCCCGATTATTAAAATATGGACAAGAAGTAATGGATTTTATTTTGAGGTGGTACAGTATGAGAAATTTGTTACCGTGTATATACCATAATAGAATAATTTTAATTCACTGTGAAAGGTTTTGACTCGGAACAAAAGGATTATTTGAATTAAATGATTATTTACAGCTTGTCTTGCATACAGTACTGTACATACCTGAACTTTCGGAGCTGAATGCTAACTCAATGAATTATACAATATTCAGATTTAGCCACTCATGATATTATTTTGCCAGATTCATTCTGTTGGTAACAATAGGCATGTTTCATTAAATTCAAAATGTCTTTAAATTTAATCAACTACAATGTAATTAATGTAGCATGTTCATCCAGGGTTATTTTATCAAGGGAAGCCAGGTACTTCGAACCCTTGTTGCTTTATGCGCATTTTTGGTGCATCCATGGTTTTGAAAAGATGGGTAATGAATGGAAGTACTGGATCACGTCCGCTAATTTTACGCAAGGCGCAAAACTAGAGACAAAGCATAATCATACCTACAGTATATAACTATTTATTTCTAATAATTTGCTATAATATTTTTTAGTTTTAATGAAAGGAAGGGTACTCAGGCACTGCGAAACTAAACACCCCTCCCCTTTCCCCCCTTCTGCAATGTTTCTATATTGGTCGTTTTGATTGAACACAATCAAAGGAATTTGGAAGCAAGCACTCTTCTTACTTGCCAATTTGAAGGGTCTTTGTCCACCATTTGTTTTAACTTTTTTTTTTTATTGCTACTATGTGATCATTGACACACTGGTTAAAAAAAATGTATGCGCTTTTTTTTTCAATTTGTAGGTGTTGGTTATGGCATAACGTTGATTTGTGCTCTCTGTTCGCTCTACTACATCCTCATTATCACCTGGACCATCTATTACATGTATGCGTCGTTAGCGAAAACTCTGCCGTGGATCGGATGTGACAACGAGTGGAATACAGAATTCTGCACAACAAATTTTGTTACCCCTGAACCTATTGTATCCGTTCTAAATACTACCAACAGCACATATCAGCCCTTAATGTCTTCAGAGGCTTCCTTAACCACGGCGGCACCGAGAGTCAGGGCCAGTGAGGAATATTTTTCGTAAGTTATAAGATACGTTTGTGTTCACATTACATTCCTGTATCTGTATCTTGATGTTCTATGACTTATGGTTGCATTATAACCACTGTGTTACTACAGCGGCGTAGCTAGGTTAAAATGGGCCCCAGTGCAAGATTAATCCTAACCTAATTAAGAAAATTGGTGGCATGTGAAATTTAACAATTGCAGTGATGGATCCAGGAATTCGAAATTGGGGGGGGGGGGAAGGATGCGGCCAGGAGGGACTTTTCATGTGGAGGTTGTACACTATCTCAGCCTCACTAGTGTTTGGGGCTGAGATAAAACATATATGCCAATTATGGAACCTCTAGTTGTCCGGAAATGGGACTCAGGAACTTCAATTTGAATATATAATTTTTTTTTCCACATTTTTGTTTATAAGTTTGAAAAGTGTAGGGGCTGGCTGGGCCACAGTTTTGAATCCACTGCTGGGTTTAAATCAACGAAGTACAGAAGTCAATAGTTACTCCTCTAAAAACCTAGATGTTATTGAGTTGCCCGCTGGCTGTTTTTTCTTCAAATATATTAAGTTGAATATTATTTTAGGTATTTTTAGGCCTATCAATGGGCCCATAATAGCCCTAGGCCCAAGTGCTTTGCACTGGCAGCACTGCCCATCCCTACGCCACTGTGTGGCTATATGATTCTGACCCTTAAACCGGGCACTCAATGGGTTGTACGACCAATGATTCTAACTGCGCTTAATGTGAGGCTGGACAACGCAACACAGTCTGCTGATCGTCAGTGGCAGGCTAAAAAATAGGATCCTTTACACGCATGTCATCATCGCACTGCGTTCTTCCTAGAATCACATCAGCCGCAGTGAGTACGCAGCTTTATACTGTATATGATAATTATTATGCGCATGTTTTATTAAACACATGTTTGAATTGTTTAAGAATTTGTTTTTTGGATTTATATAGCGTTCTTATTCCTTTCTGAAAGAACTCGTCAAGCTAAGCAAGATTTTTTTTTTTTTTTACATCCTGGTTATTGGATACAGAATTATACACAATGTGCAACCTCCTCTGGTTCCCATGGGGTGTTCTCTATCATGCATTTAATTCAGCACTACCTATTTCCTTCTGAATCATTCACCACCTACCCAAGTACCCATTTATACTAATGGATGTGGAGAGAAAAATACAGATAGTGTCTTGCCCAAGGGCATAAGCAGTGTGACCAGCATCTGTCTTGAACTCACAACCTTTCAGTTGAAATCCAAAGCGTTGATCGCTACGCTACACAGCTTCCATAAACCTTGATTCATATTATACCAATCAACTTTAGAGATTTGTCACGCTTGAGTAATTTGCACTGAGGCTAGCCTATTTCACCCTTACCTGTAGCGCTCATATTACTGTAGGGAGCTTTCGATTGCCCGACCCTTTAGAATCTAGAACGTAAAGACTTCACTAATATTTCATCTGCGCATGTAAGAACGTTATGTTCTCCTCGTCGTGAGGATTCTAGGATACACTTTGGCCAAATCCACGTTGTACAGAGAATGTAGGACGGTCATGCATAAATGAATCTGTTTTAGAGTTGCATCATCGCGCAAATCGAAACCTCCCTATCGACTTTAAATCACGCTACTACTCAGAACTGCAAGCGGCTTTTAAAGATCTAGATAAATAACTCAGATAAGTTATTATTCGCGAGTCTCGCGCATGAGCATCTACTTTTGAAGTCTCAAACCTATGTTGTATAATCTCAATTAAATATAATTGTATTAAAAGATACAGTATAATATATTGGCCAATTATACCCTAAAATTCATTTATAAAAAAGTGAATTTGTCGTTAAAATATGAATACAGGCCATATAAATTATTTTAACGAAGCTATACCGACTGACTACTAATAAGATTAAGAGGCGGTTCCACTGCTACAATAAAAATAAAATGTAACATAGAGGGTGCTCTATTTTGTAATTTTTACATAGAGGGTGCAATATATACATTTTTTCGTGTCTCATGCATTAGAATTTGGCAGGTTTATTATTGCCCCAACACAGACAATACATTTGAAGGTTATTTGAATTTGTACTGTAGGGCTACTGATTTTTTTTTTTGCTATTTGTTATGTTGAGTCAATCGCAAGGACAAAATAAAGCTTAGTTAATTCCTTTTAGCATAAAGGCAGAAAGATAAGCAATTGAATACAATAGACTTTTCTAAAGGGGATCTAATCAATCTATCTATTCTGAATGTGCTAATTCGGTAGGCATGCGTAAATCCAGCCTATCGGATATTGCATGTTGAAACGATATCAAACTTGAATGCATATTTGGTAAATATATTTAAAAAAACTTCAAATCTCTGTTGGCTTTTATAATATTTAAAAAAATATTCTCCATCCCTGAAGGAGAAGAAAAAATATCAGAATGATATATGATGTTGCAGAGACTACTTTAATGACTTGAGTAATTAATTTGATAGGTCAAGGTTCATAATTGTGTGGTAACCATTTCAAATTCAGATTCAGATTTCTTTAATAAATTTAACTGGCAGTAAAATACTTATTGCGAGATGTTTACAATATATACAGATAAAATTGTTATCTTAAAATACAGAAGAGAAAAAATTGTACAACACACAGCACCACAATGCTTCCCATTAGGGTGAGAGAGACCGGATAACTATGCACTCTAGGATTAGGCCTAGGCTATTAATAATGATAATCATAATCTTGGCCAGCCAACCCTAATTTCCTGTCCTTTGGGCAACACAGCAATATTTTGGTCACAGCCTATATGTACTGAGATTTATTGAATTGAAGCAGTTATCTGCCAATCCCTCGCTGTGTATTTTGCTTGTGTCCTTAAGCAAGGCACTGTATCAGCATTGCTTCTCTAAGCCTCTGGTGGGTTGCCTGCTTGTTCACTGATTACAGCCACAACACTCAATCATGTAGACCCAATGATGAGAAATACTTAAATACATCTGCAAAGAAAGGTGCTACATAATAAACAAACTAATAAATAAATATATAAAATATGAAAAAAAAAACATCTTGATATTATTACATTATTACTGATAAGTTTGAATATTTTTGCTATTTTTTTTTTACAATATAAATATATTTTTTTTGTACAGGCATGCAGTCTTGGGAATTAGTGATGGTCTTCACGAGATTGGGGGTGTTCGTTGGCAGCTCCTTGTGTGCTTGGTAATCGCTTGGGTAGTCGTCTACCTGTGCCTGATCCGCGGTATTCATTCATCTGGAAAGGTGGGTAGAAAAAAAACAATAATGCCATAATACATTGCCACAAGGGTGGCACGAGCAGGGGAGCTGAAGGGAAGGAGGAGGCACCTCCCCTTTTTCCCCCCTCCCTGTCAAGGAGAAGAACACACATTTCACAAAAACGTTCATCTTTTTTAAACAAATTATGTGAATTAATTTCTGTTTCCAAAATCTTCCATTGAAATTTTGTACAGTCGGCGTGTCTGGATCTGCAAGAACAGAAACCCAAGTTACTGTTTTACAGATATACATGACCAACAGACACATATACGCACACCCATGTCAGCTCTCAGTAACCCTTCTAGTGGGCATTTTTATCATTATTCACTGCAAATTTTATGGCCATGCCTTCTTGTTTTAATGTTGTTCTTTGATAATAGGCAGATATTGCAACCTTACGAAAAATGAATATGAATATGTCATCTTTATTATCACATTATTTGTGGCTAGAGCAGTCTTAACAGCTACCTACACAAGCTGAATATGATTGTCGTAGCTCATAAGGCTTGAATCACTTACATTATGACAATTAATCTACTGTATGGCATGGATCGACTAAAAATAATAACATAACCGTATTCGTTATCATTAATTTGAAAGTTAATTGAATGTGTACTGTACTGATTTTTTTTCCCTCATTTGTTAAGGTCGTCTACTTCACGGCAACGTTTCCATTTGTACTGCTTTTCATTCTGTTCATCCGTGGAGTTACACTTCCCGGTGCCATGGACGGGATTATTTATTTCATCAAACCCAATTTCTCAAAGCTTCTCAGTTTAAAGGTAAGCATGAACAATAATAAATTAGTTAAAAAAATTATCAAATGCGCCAAGTGAAAAATGAACACTAAAAAGCTTTAGAAAATCAGAAAATTTTTGAGATTCTTCTTAAATAGAATTGTCTAACATAATTTCTAGAGAAGGTCGGCTTGAAGAGAAAATGAACGTTGACCACAGTGTTTACGTTTACTTTTAAGACAAAGAATATAGGACCAGTCACAAAAATATTGGGACCTCAAAATTAATGATTGGTGATTGATTAATTGATTTAATAGTTGAATAGTGATTAATTGGTTAATATACTTGATTTGGTTGGGAACCACTGTTTTATTGATTGTCAATTGACTGACTGATTGGTAGTTGATTGGTAATGATTGATAAGCTATGTTTCGTCGTTTTAGGTATGGCGTGCTGCTGCCAATCAGGTGTTCTATTCTTTCGCTGCAGCATGGGGAGGAATGTTGACGTTGGCTAGCTACAACAGGTTTGACAAAGATGTTCTAAGGTATGTTTTTAATTGGCAAGCTTCACCTTTCAACTTAATTGAAGATTTGATAACTGTAGAAGAGTTTTCGATCTAATAATAATAAAACAGCATTTATAATGCGCCATCTATCTAGCGAACTACAGTATTCCGAGGCTCAGTGACTCTTGAAGAAAGAAAAAAGATTTACTAATTTTTATGTTTTTATATTGAATAGTTAAAAATCCATACACAGAGGCAAAATTTTGAAATTACCAAGTGAAAAATATTGAATAATAAATTTGCAGTTATAAATAAAAATATTTACTAACAAAATATTTAATTGCAATTATATACTTACTTTTCCATTTATCTTTATTTTATTCATTCTATCTATTCTATACTTGTTTCTTGCTTTTATTACTATACCTTGTACTCCTTTTCTTTTTAGTTCTATTCCGTTTTAGCCTTGCATTTAATTTCTATATACTTTCTTTCTATTCTTTCTTATTCCTTTTCAATCTTTCGTTTTCTTTCTTATTACTTTCCAATCTATCGTTTCTTTTCTTAATACTTTTTCAATCTATTCGCTTTCTTTCTTGTTCCTTATCTAGCCTGAAAGCATCCAAGACCAAAGAATTATTAATAAAAATTAAAATATATTTTCTTCCTATTTATCCCATTTCAAATTTAAGTTTTAGCTAGCTCCTGGAACCTGCAATAATGCAAATATTTTATTTTATTTTAAGATTTGGAGATTTTTATATAATAACTGATGGTATATTTGATGCATTTTTTCAGGAGTGGAATTGGAATTGTTGTTAGTGGATGTTGTACTAGCCTTTTTTCTGGCTTCGTCATTTTCTCTATTCTTGGTTTCATGGCCCAGGACGCCGGTGTACCAGTCGATCAGGTGGTGAACTCAGGTTGGTTTTTATATCGTTCCGAGAATTTGCCATCAGAATAATTATTTCTTCACGTAGAGATATAAAATCTGTTTTAAGTATTTACTTCTAAATAGTCATAATTATAAATCACGATAACACATCAAGTAGGGCAGAACATCACTCCTAAGATACTTTCCTGATACAAACGCACATCCGGAAACTTACATATAATTATGTTTTTTTTTTTCATATTTTAGGACCTGGCCTAGCTTTTATTGTCTACCCAGAAGCGGTTGCCCAAATGCCTTGCCCTCAACTCTGGGCCTTCTTATTTTTCTTTATGCTGTTTATTGTGGGTCTTGATAGTGAGGTAAGAGAAAATAATATTATTTATACACATCTGCATGTGAAAACTGTCAACACAAAATGACCTTCCACATCAAAATGAGCCTTGTTGTACTAGAGGCCGAAAATGTGTTGACACCATCATGTGTTGCTCAGTGGTACCATCTAGATGTGAAGATATAGCCTCACAAATTGTTAATAGAAACAATATTTTGGGGACGGGGGGGGTGGGCGGAATGTTTTATAACATGGAAGATATTTAGATGTTTTAATTTTATATTTTGACCTAATTATTCCAATACAGTAAGTAGTAATACATAATTAAAGTAGATGTTGAGCTGATATGGAATGGTGAAATGCATTTTCAGCATTTCGGTTCAAATCTCTCTTGGCTATTATCTTACCCTGGCATAATAATGTATGCAGAACAACTCATTTTGGTGTCAAGGGTCATATATATCCATGTTAAGCAGGCTGTTCATCTGAAGAGCTTGCTTTACTAGAAAATAAAAATGTTGGGAGTAGAAAAAAAGAGAGATAAATACTGACAATCAAGGATTGATCCCAAAAACCTCTAACAGTCCTAGACGGACAGACTTCTTGAGTTCACTCCTAGTGAATCAATATTTATCTTTTTGGATTCTTCTCCACTGCAGAATAAATATTTAAATGCTTCTTTTAAACATATGAGTTTATTATTATATAAATGTAAATATATTCAAAAAAATATATAATTCAGTAGAATCTGTTACCAGTTTGGTGTTCATCAGTATACACAAAGATATCTTGTTTGAAGTGTTTAGAAATTGCCATGTATAAGCTTGGGTTTAAAATAAAAAAAAAAGGTTAGTAAATGTTGTATGGTGTATGAACAAAAGGCCAAGATGAATGGAATTGCCAAAAAGCGTTGTATCAATGGTGTAAATATTAAGTGGGTGAAGATGATTAAAATCTAGTAGTAAGAGTGTGGTATCTGTGAGAAGGTGGAAATAGTTTGATTTGAATTTGGCCATTGATGAGAAGTTTCATTAAAGAATATCATACAGAACATGTAAAACTACAAGACAGGGTCAACAACATGCATACATTTTCAGAACTAAGATCTTGATACACCCCAAAAGATTGCATTTCTAGGGGTCTAAGGAAGAGCCATGAACCATTAAAATCCATAGCTTAAGAATTTCCTGAATAATAGATCCCAGCTGTATTGGTTTTGTGCCAAGCTCAAGTTAAACAATATATATTGGTTGTTTCCTTTGAAACTCTCTGAGCCATTTAAAGTGGTGCTGATATGCTTTGAAGATAAGTCAAAAGTTATTTTGGTTTACACATGCCAAGTGGTTTCAATCCTTCGCTGTGCATTTTGCTCGTGTCCTTGAGCAAGGCGCTTTTTTATACATTGATTCAGTATACCCAGCTGTATCAGTGGTTCCAGCAAATTGCTATGAGTAACCAACAGTGGACCAGCATCCCACCCAGGAGGAGTATGACACTCTCGTTCACGCTACTTGAAACTGGTGATAATCTCCAGCCCTATGGGGCCCCTAGTGGCTTGGCAAGGATTTACTTACATGCCAAGTATCAAGATTACAGTTCTTAGGGTTTTTAAATACTATAGTGCCAGAAAAAAAAGCAGTCTTAATCTTGTGGTAGGTAATTGATCCTTTCAGGATGGCTGCAACTTTTGTATAAGCAGTTACAAATCTGAGTGATGATAAAAGCTTGCATTTATAAATCTAGTTCCACTGGTGGTATGTAATATAAAATTGAATTAATCCTTAAGATGGCAGCAGGTATTCTGAAATCACAAATGAGGTCAATTGATCTTTCAGTATAGCATTGCATCTTTTAGAAAGCAGTTTTATTCTTTCTGAAGGTGGGTGCTCATCTAGGGTGACAGATGTCTGTTCATTTTGCAGGATGGCAACACCTCTTTTTGAAAGCAGTTAATGTTACTGTACCAAATTATATTCTAGTTAATCTTTTAGAATAATGGCACATCTTTTTGTAAACAGAATTTGGTGTCACCTGATGGCAAGATGTCTTTTGCATAATAGTCAGAAACTGATGCTAGCTTAATAATATTTAGGGTGGTTTGCATTTTGCAAAGAGTAGTCTTATTTTAGCATTTCTTTCAGGAAGGCACCCTCTAATTTCGTAACATGCTAAGGTGGCAGTTGATTTTTTTTTAAATGGCAACCTTTGAACTTTCAGGATTTAATGTCAGTTCACAATCGGGTGGTTAATCCTTAGGAGTCGTCCATAATTATCTATATTTTCACAAGTGTACAAACTGTACTATTCTTTCGGTACCCCCATCCTCCCATCTGAAAATGTACAAAATATGTTGATTTTGCAAAACCATTCTCCATTTTTTTGTGAAGTCAACTAAAGCAATGTACTTGGTTGCTTAAAAATGGATATTATATCCATGGTTACATACCATTATTTTACATATTACATGTTATTTTGAATCAAGTGTATAAATTTGTCTACCCCTCCCCCCTAGCGCACTGTTTTTAAAAATATTGATAATGTTGAATGACCCCTTAGCATTTAGGAACGTTAAAAAGTAGTTGATTATTTAAATTAACATTAAATGCAGCTTTTCTTGAAAATATTAAATTGTACAGGTGGTATTTAGGTTTTCTACAGAGCTCATCTCAAATGATGTTCAGTTCTAGGCAATTAGATGGTTCAGAAAGTATGATCACCATCTGCCAGATGTCATATTCTACCTAACTCTTTATCACTAACTTGGAGAAACTGTTATAATAATAATATGGTTCATTAAATCTAATACAATTTTACTCACTTGCAGCTAAACCAGGCACATAAAATTTTCTTTGTCGGGGAAAAATCTAATCCGTAACACAATAAAAGCTCCTCTCATCCCCTGTCTTATGGTTCACTAACAAGAAAGATTCTCAAACAACAAATGCACAGAACACATAATTTTAGTTTACAAGTGGAAGATTGCAATAGTGTAGTGTTTTGAGTGTTTTGATATGTTCACCTAAGTTCTTGAAGTAGGTTTGTGTTTGGTTGCTGATGAAGTCAAGGTGTGACCGAAAGAGTACTTGAATGGGAAGGTAATGAAGAAATTGTGACCTCCCACCACAAACTGAGTCCAAACATGAAAAAGGAGAAAATAGCTAACATAGTTTTCATCATAGTAATCCATCCCAATGGTCTAGATATGTATCCAGGTGTGGTATCAACACAAATTAGAAATTTAAAAAAAAAAAAATTTGGGCTGTTTCCTGTTAAGAAAAAAGTTTCGAAAAAAATAAATTTTTCTTTCCATTTTTATATACCTCACAAATAAAAAGCATTTATCAATCCGATTAGTGAACTCTTTAAATTGCAACGTTGTATATTTTTCAACCATGCAATGGGATCTCTAATGAGATCCGAAGACAGCCCTCCAATACTTTTTTTGCCTCACATTTGCATGATTTTATTCGATCCTCAATATAAATTGTATTTCTATTTTCTCCTCCTGCCTAGATGGTTTTGACAGAACCATTTTACTAAAATAAGTAAAAAAAAATTCAAAATTTTTTGTTTTGCTATATAAATGGCCATCTTTCGAAAAAATGGCATCCTAATCAAGATACAAAAAATGTCTGGCCTTTAAAAATGGCATGTTCTGATATGTTGGTGACAAGTGACAAATGTCATTTTTGTTTAACAAGGTACAGCAATTGGATTCCTTTAGTGCTGAGAGGTCACAAATGTGTAAATGGAAAATGGCAAACTGAAAAACAAAATTTTAAGAAAGAAATAAAATACTATAATTGGTAAAATCAGTGTAAATAAAGTTACCATTCTACAAACAATGATTGATGTCACCATAAACGTATATTTTAAATAATTTCTCACTTTAAAATGTGCTTTTTTATGCATTATTTTGTAGTCATGGTTTTCTATTTTTGATAAATATTTTTTTTAATTAATGAGAATCAGAAATGAAACTAAATTTAAATAATTTAGAAAAAATGGATTTGAAAAAAAATTATCCTATGAACTAGAGCATGTATTTTGAAAATCTTTGTTAATGACGTGCTTTGTATGCATGAATAAATTTATACTAAGTTTAATATATATCTTTAAAATAGTTTAATACTATTTTGATATATTTTGATATATTTTATTTACGGTTGATAGTCCCAGCATATAGTCACATAGATTCAGTATTTTAAAGAATTTTAAATCATTTTTCAACAATTGAATAAGAAATGGCGAATATATTTTGGCGCCTTGATCACTACTGCAGTGGATTTGTGCACTTTATAAAATTTGTAATATTATTATTATATTACATCTGGTTTCAATAATAATGAATTAGAGTTAATTAAATAAATTAAAATATACTTTCGGAAATTCAATCTTTGAACTTCTTCTTTTGTTCATTTAATAGCTTCCAATTGAAGATTAGAATGAAAAAAATGTCTTCACAAAATGCATAAATTATTGTTTGAGAGTCTTTGGCTAGTAGTATTTTTCTAGTAAAATATCTTTTAACACGTTTACTGCCAAGCCTTTTTTCATAGTTTCATCCCATACGCCAAGGCATTTAAAGGGCGCCACCTTAATAAAAATCATTACGATCAACTGTAATGAAACACGAACAAACGGTATTTATTTTTAGATCATTACTTCCGAGTCCTTCCCTGAACTTCGTATTTTTGGCAGCTAACGTGTTAACAAGAACTGATTTTTTTTTTTTTCAATCTAAGGTCAAATTGGAGGCTAATAACTTAATTTATTCTTGTTAACAATGAAGCATTTCAATATTTTTATTGAATTTTTGAATGTTTTCGAAATTTTAAGGATCAGTATTATTATACACAAGTACGTTTCATTGGCAGATATTTCAATCATAATACATTTCGAAGCAAATACGTAACGTATGCAGGAATACTGGATCATGTAAATAGATACAACCGGCAACTCCAAATTTGTAATGGTCATGTGATGTTTGCTTGTTGTAACACTGCAGTTAATTTGAGAGGAGCAATA